TTTGTAGTTTTGCATCGCTGTCGTGTTGCACCTTTTGTTATGAATCTCTGTAGTTGTTTTGTGTCTCTTTGTAGTCATCTTGTCGTTGTTTTGCATCTTAGTTTTGTGTCTATTTGTGTTTGTGTTGCATCTCTGTAGCTTCTGAAGTCGTTTTATGTCTCTTTGTAGTCTTTATGCATCTTCTTACAGTTGCTGGGAGTGTCTTTGTGGTCGTTTTACATCGTTTTGTCGTTGTTGTGAGGCTCTTTCAGTCCTTCTGCCAACATGTTGTCGTTTTTTTTTTATCTCTTTGTGGTTATTTTGCGTCTCTTAATCGCCGTTTGACATAATTTTATTGTTATTTTTTCATCTTTTCGTCGTCGTTTAACCTGTCTCTGCAGTTGTTCTGTAGTTTCTTTGTCTGTTTTGTGGTTATTTTCAGCGTTGTGTGTCGGTTTGCGTGTTTTTCTCATGTCGCTTTATTTAAAGGCTCAGGTCCTGGTCCTGCTGGATCCATTCAGCGATTCCTCCGCCTGCCTGGAGGCTGTGTTTGGACAGTTACGCAACATTTTTAGGACTCAAATGATTCATTAGGAAATAATCAGCAGCATAAACGCTCGTTAAAATAGCCGTTAATCAGAATGTTAGGACACATCCAGCTGTCGTGTGAATTTTAAACCAAACGTTTCTCGCTGTTTGTTTTTCTCTTCGCTTGTTTATCACACGTGTTTCTAGCAGACGGAGATTTTTCTCACTTTTCTTTTCAGGTCCGTGAGCTTCAAGTGATTCAGGGATTCAGCTTTTTTACTTTGTGAGATCATTTTTGTGTCTTCTCTTTGCTGTCGTTGACGTGTTTAAACCGTCTGCTTCTCCTTCAGGGCTTCTTCGAGCTGTTTCCCGCCGTGAGGAGCTCGCTGGTCGTCGACTAGAAGAACCGAAGGACACGAAGGATCAAACTTTTAACTCTTGTTGGTGATGGAAACGTGATCTGTGGAGGAGCTCCTTATTAAACGTGCTGTAATTTTAATGGAAATCAAAAATGTAAAAACACGTTTCTTTCTTAAGTCATTTAGAATAAAACGCTGAAAACCCTTTTTCTGGTGTGGACGCGTTCTGTTCAGAGCGTCTCCGTCCTGCTGCAGTAATTTAATTTCACCTCCTCAGTTCTGATGAAGCTGCTTCTGCCAAGAGTCTCGGCGGGTTTTTGGCAGAACGGGACGGACAGAAGAAACTCCTCCACACGCCTTCTCGCTTTATTAGTCTGAGAACGCAGCAGATCTGCTGTTAGGAGGATAAAAATGAGGAATTAAGAGGGTGACAAACCGAGCAGGTCTCGTAATGAAGATCCGAACGCTGCTGAGACTGTCAGAGGTGTTGATAGAACATTTCTAATGCACTTCACCTCACAACTGCAAATATAAAACAAAAGCAGCTGCACAAAGGAGCTCGCTGACTTCCTGAACAACATAACGAATGTTTTTACCATTTTTTTATTGATTTATGTAAACATTTGAGTAAATCAGGTTAAATTTCAGGTGTTCTGGTGCAAAAGCTTCTATTTTAAATACATTTGCAAGTAAATGAACTCTTAAAAACAGCATTATGAAGCACAGCCACGTTTATTTAAGTGGTTCAACTTGTTCAGCAGGAAAATAAAAGCAAAAAAAAGAGTTTGAGAGGTTTGTTTGCAGCCTGTGTGTGTTAATGTTTACTCACCTTTTTATGATTATTTTTATGTCATGAAGACGAATTTATCAGTTAAAGGGACGTTGATAATGAAGTTTTCAGTGTGATCAGGATAAATGATTAGAAACAAATGTGTGTAGACGTCATTTAGGTGGATTCAGGACGGTTAAAGAGGAGGCGGGTTGTTTATCTGACAATAAAATCACAGAAAGAGATTTACATGGCAATGGGAGGAAATAATAATAATAATAATGTCCACCTCAAAAATCTGTGTTCCTACAAATAGGAATTCATCCTTTTAACAAAATCACCACAAAAAAAATCAGACATTTACATTTTGACTGTTTAGAAAAATGTCCATAGAAAAAAATCTTTATTTTTTTTCATAAATTTGTTCTTTTACCGCGTGTTACTGTGAAATTACAGGTTTTTTAATGTGTTTAAATCAGTTTAAAAGACATTTATTTGACAGATATTATTAATACGACATTATTTCTCAGTTTTTCCACCATTTTTCTGCCTAATTTTCACATTTTCTTGTCGTTTCTTTACGTTTTTTTGTACGTGTGGGTCACATCTACCGTCACTTTGGCCCCACTGTGGTTCAAAAAGAATTAAAAAATTAAATCAGACTTATTTTTCAGCTTTAAATACTTAGAAAAGCCTGTAAAAGTCACCATCAGACTCACCAATGAGACGTTTCACCTCCAATCTTTTCTTACTGGTTTATGTTAATGTCATTATTAAATATTTATCAGCCAAATAAAAGGGAATAAAGTGTAATTTCTTCTCCCAATAATCATCCCAGGACCTCTCAGGTTTATCTGGTGACCTCCTGGAGGGGCCTGGACCTTATGTTGGACATCATTTATCATCACCACTTTTTTATTTCTGCGGACTTGTTGTAGTTTTGTTGATACAACTCGTGGATTGATCGGATTGTGACTGAAGGTTGATGATCATTCTCGGCTGTAGCGCCTCCTGTGGTCCAGATCCTCCGCCCAGCCTCCGCCTCCTCCTCTCTCCTCCTCTCCTCGTCTCTCCATCAGTCCTCCGGCGGCAGCAGCAGCGTCTCCTCGGACATGGAGAGCCTGTAGAGGTGCGTCAGCAGCGGCGGCTCTCCCCTCCTCGCTCCGGTGGGTGCTGGATGTACCATGCGGTCTCCGCGGCTCTGGGCGGCTCTGTGCCTCCTCCTCACCGCCTCCTGCCGGCTCTGCGCGGCCGCCCGACACGGTAAGACTCGGATCTGGTGCGAACCAGCGCTGATGGAGACGAATTGACTTCCCTCTTAACGAAGTGGCTGCGTCCGGGCGGAGAGGCGCGGCGCGTAAATCACGATTTCCCCGCTGGCGAGCCCCTGTTGCGGTGTTCCTATAGTAACTGGGAGAGTTTGGAGCGACCTGGAGGCGCTCTGCGCTCCCCTTTAGAACATTTGTACATCCTATTATACAATTTACAAACTGATAAATATGCTTTGGCTGCATTTCTCCAGAATCCGCTGCAGGATTTGTGAGTTTTCCTTCACAGATTGTGCGTTAAAGTGGATTATTGGAGCTTAAATTAACAGGCTGCCATCATTTTAATATAACAGTACACTAAGTTGTATTTTTCAGTTGCATCCCTGCAAATTGTGTGATTCACTTCGCTTTTTTTGCGCATATTCAGGATGCTTTTTTCTTCTTCTTCTCGCTTATCGCCGCTGATCTGTTTACTTCGGTGCCAAATTGCGTCACTGACGCAAACGCTGTGACCGCGGGTCGACTCGGATGTGTCTGGCTGCACGGATGAATCATGCAGCAACAAACACAACCGACCAGAAGAGAAAATGGACATGGAGCGAAAGCAGACAGACAGATGTAAAAACAGCAAAACATGAATTATTAAGCAGAGAAATCTGAATCCATGAAGCTCCGTGATGAGAGAAAAACCCAGAACACAAGCTGCAGGAGTCCAACTGAGTCAGAATGTGAGCGAACTCTGATGCAGGCAGTCAGCATGGTGGAGCGTCATGTGGTTTATAGATGGAGAAAAGGAAGTAAATGGCTTTAAAACCATCTGAGGATGTTCAGTTAGATCTTCTCAGGAGGCCTCAAAGCATTTCATGTATGAACTCATGTGTCCAGCTGGTGTGACTGAAGCTGAACGATCAGAAAACAGGATGTTGATTCTCAGCTGAATGTCTGAAACCGACCTAACATGGATGTTCTTGTGTTGTCTGGGGATGATGTTCTGAGTTTCTTTGGCCACACAAACCTTAAACTGCCAAAACAAACAAGTTAAAATTCATACAAACAACAAACAAGCTTCAAAAACGACTAAGACAAGAGGAAGCTGATGAAGCTGTACGTTGTTTTTTTACACGATGCACTTTGGTGTCTAAACCGTCATCCGCAAGAAGATCTACTGAATCTAGAGCAAACGGCTTAAAAACAAACATTAGATCATGTAGGGCTTCTCTTACATGCAGAAAAGTGCAAAAACAGCCACAAAAAGCTGCAAAATTATTTCCAAAAACACCCAAAATGANAGTCTTTTTTTCATATTTTTGTTGTCGTTTTACAGCTTTTTATGGTCATTTTGCATCTATTTGTATTTATTTGGAGGATTTTTGTGGTCATGTTGCATCTTCTTTGCATTATTAGACTTAAATTAAAGGGAGCCACATGACAGCCAGCGGGGAAACTCTGCTTGTTTAATTATGAGAGTTTTTACAAATGTCTGGGGGACTTTGAAGGAGCTTTTCTTACTTCTGTAAATGTTCAGGCTCGTTGACAGCAGAGACGATAATAATTAAAAAAGGAACTTTATCCAATCAGTGGAAATCCACGTAGACGAGGTGGATTTAGGTCTCCTGCAGGACCAGGTGTGTTTCCTTCGGCTGTCACAGGATTACATAAACCCTTAATGAAGTGAAACAGGCACAAATAAAGAGAGCAGAATGAGCAGCTTCACGTCCGCCGCTGTTTACTGCCTCGCAACAGATTAGACGCTGGCAAAAGGTCATCTGCAACACAAACACGAGCACACGGGTCCATCTGCAGGCTCTTAGCAACATAATACTGACGATAGCAGTCGGTCCCGACGGCTTCCCCACATCTTTCTGCCCATTTATGACTCCTGAACTCCAGGCAGAGTGCTGAGAAGGTGCAGCATTTTCCTCTATAGGCCACATTTATCTTTGCTTTTATGTGAAAAACAGTTGAACCAAACTCCGCTACAGAAACTGTCCCTCCTATCAGCAGGTTATTTCGTCTCTCAGGCTCCTCGGCGACTTTTAAATGTCCGTTTGTGTGACGTTTTTTCCTTTATTTTGTCTCTGCAGGTTGTTTGTTTGAGAAGAAGCTTTGTCCCAGAGGTCAGCTGTGCAACGATGGTGAGTTCATCTGAACGTTGTTCTGCTTCCACGCCGTCCGTCAGCATCAACCAACCAGCACCAAATGGCTCCAGTCGGGCCAGAAAGAGGAAACCGACGCCATGTTTTTGGCTGTTTTTGATGTTTCTGTTGTTGTTTTGAATCAGTTTTGTTCATTTTTGTGTCTGTTTTTCGACAGTTTGTGCGTCTTCATGTCAGGAGGAGTCTCTTTAGTTTGTTGTTTGCGTTTCCATGCAGCCGCTTTGCATTTNTTATGGGATTTTTAATTGTCATTTGTGTCTTTTTGTGCTCTTTGCCAAACTGGCTTGACTGGAGCTGCAGCGGGAGGCTCATGAGGAGCTCATGAGGAGCTCAGGAGGAGCTAAATGAGCCGTCAGGATGGACGTGTTCACAGCGCATCTATCAGCGCACTCATTACAGACTTCATTAGTGAAATTCCCTCTAATTAGTTGTGTTGGTGATTGAGTGACAGTGATGGACGAGTTTAAGCAGACTGAGGTCTTCCAGAAGCAGCAGCAGCAGCAGCAGCAGCAGGAGGATGAGGATGAGGAGGATGAGTGGGCGGAGGAGGGATTAGTCATCACCAGGAGTTTGGTGGTTTTGGGAGATTCCCTCCATGAGAGCAGCTGCAGCTTGTTTCTGAGGCTGATGGATGTTTAGAGGCTTCAGGTGAACATCAGGAACTGAACAAGTCGAATTATGAGCTGATTTACAGCCAGAGTGAAATAAATAGTCTGTACTTTATATATAATCTGACAGCTTTAGTGTTAAAGTTCAGATTATAAACGATGAATAATAAGAGCAGCTTCACCACATCGTTGTTTTTCCTTCTAAACTTGGTTTAAATAAAATAAAATAAAATAATATCTCGCCCTGAAATGAAAGATTACAGAAAAGCTGACAACAGATTTATTTATTTACTCATTTATTTTATTGATCTATCTGCTGCTTCTGGAGATAAAACTGGATCTGAGCGAGTTTAAAGCTTCAACATGAACACAATGAAACTGTTAATTACCGATCGCTTTTATAGTC